GACTTTTTTCCCCAAATTATTTTGACCCACCCACCCACCCCTAATTTCGATTAATAAAAAACTGAACATGTACATGTACATGTACATGCACTTGCATGTACATGTAACACCATGTACATGTGTGTCTAGTTCAGTGACGGCGTGAAGTTGTCGGTCTTCCTCTTTTATGTGATAAAATATGCGATACCTCACCAACAAGTATCTTTTAACGAAATTCAATCAGAATATTTATCAATTTATAAAAAAAACAATTAGTTGTTGTGTTACTTGTTGGTGTCCCTGCCACACTGTACGATGGTGTAGCCGTGCGTTATGCACGTGGATTGTTTACTTTCGTTTTGACGGGGACTTTACTGAATAGAGTCTGGTGACTGTACATAGAAATTTCTTTGAATAAAAGTCGAATCGTTCATTCATGTGCACTTGTTATGCAAAGCAGGGGCAGTGGTTCAAGGATATCTATGTCGACTTGCAGAAAGTGTGCAAGAACGCGACTTGAATACTTTTATGTGCGACAATCCCCCCCCCCCATGAAACCTTGTCGCCTCCCCCACTGAGATTTTGAGTTTCTAAAAAAAAAACATCATTGATCTACATGACGCCCCCTCCCCGTGAAATGTTCCACCCCCCCAGCCCCCCCCCCCCCCAACTGAAAAATTCCTGACTACGCCACTGACAGTACATACAGGGGACGAAGTTGGAAAAGAAACACGCATCGCGATATCGGAACGTTTGCGCGTAGTTCAGGCAAGTCACAAGATCTATCTTTCTTTGTTTGTTTTTATCTTTTTTTTCCATGGAAAGTGAATTTCGATTTTCAATTATTTAGCTTGACCCACCCACCCACACAATTTGGAAAAAAGATCGAAATTTTAAAACCTTGAAAATTTTGAATGGCCCCTAAATGGAACAACTTCAACCAATCCGCCAGGGGGCAAGTTGCGCCCTTTGATCCCACTGGATACGCCATTGGGCTCTCGGAATTGAACGGAACATTTTACTTTTCATCCAGATCGTAAACCTAATTAGTACGTCGATCTTAACAGTCATCGACCTCTCTACTTAGATCTCAGGTGGCGTGTATATCTAGTAAATTGTGGCCGTTTTGATGGTGAAATCTGATGTTTTTGTGTGGTCGTTAGTATACTCTGTATAGTTAGGCCAAACCAAAAAAAAGAAAAGAAAAGACATTTGCCCTCATCTGACCGACCCTGGAAATCTCCACTCTGTTTTGTTTTTTTAATGAAATTAACTTTGACCTTACCATTACTGGTTCTTTGTAATGCCATGGTTCGTTTTGCATTTCGTTACAAAATGGACATTCCTATAAATTGTAGTACAGTCGAGTCTCGTTAATACAAACTTGTTCGGACCTTGCCAAATTGTTTTTAATATCAGAATTTTGTACTATGAGGAACATCAGTCCCAATGTGCACATTTAATGCACAGTCGGGACTAAGGCTTGTGCTTGCTATAACCAGAATTTTTGTACTAACGAGATTCGACTGTACATTTCAAATTTACGGTATTTTGTACCATTCTACGCTTCTGCACATTATTGTATACATGTACATGTACAATGTACATTGCATCGCATGCGTGTTAATGTACCCCGGTATACATGTAGTTGGCGCATGCAGATTTTTCCCCGATCGACCAACCCTCCTGATATTTTCTTCAGTCATGATATGACGCGTCAACTACACAACAGGTTTTTTTGGCCTTTTGTGTCAGGCGCGATCGATGGCTGCCAGTGCCATGGACTTTGGACCCTATCGCCAGATCATGTCCAAAAAAAAAAAGGTGATGAGTTGGGTCGAAATTACCCGGAATAGTATCTACTATCTAGCTCCAAGATCTATATTGTTACGTTTATTGGGTTGACTGTGTGTTTATTCAGCTTTTCTTGTTTTATTATTTTTATCTTTGACATTTAAATTCTTTGTACAATGTAATGATATTTTCACCCCTTCAAGTTTACGTTACAATTACAATTTGTTTTCTTTAATTTAATATTGTAATAGGGCCTAATGGTTTATTTTTTAAACTTGTGAAGTTCGAGTCCGAGTCCCGAGTCACAAGCCTCGAATCCGAGTCACTTATTCGTTGTTAACCACAACTAACAATTTTTTTTGTAGGCCTAATCATCCATTCTGTCTTTTAAGTCCAAATCACACCGAACAGTTTTATGTGGTTCATTAAACTGTTCTGTGTGATTTGGACCTTTTGTTTAAAAGATATGACAAAGCTTGTAAAGACTGTCACCACCCTTTTCAGCCACTTTTCAGATTATCTGGTATCTAAATGAAAGGCATTCACACACCTTGTGAATGCAAAACGTACCAGAAATGTGGCCCAACTCGGAATTTAAGCCTTTTCATTCTGCCTCTAGACTGGGCCACTGTCCAAATGAGATTGGATGAAGACCAACCGTGCAGTATTAATTATACTAGACTCTATAGATAGGTTTTGCAAAAAGAAAGCGCTCTAGTATTTTTGGCTGTTTCTGTAGCTTGCCTAAACAGCTATTGTTTTTGTTCTATTGGTGCGATTGTGAAGTTTAGGACACTTTTCCCCCATGCTGAACACAACCTAAATTGTTGTGCCACAATCAGAACAAACAGCCATGTCGTAGACAGATTGCAGGCTTGTTTAAGGGAAATCTTGGGTAAATTGGTAAAAAAAAATACGAGACTGCGTTGCCCAATAATCCAGTGTACACGTCAATGCGCCTGGTTCCAGGATTAAGATTGACCCAGCCAAATTGAAACCCGCGTAAGAAAATCGCATATCCCGTCTTGAAAAACTTTGCAGTATTACAAAAGCATGTCATTCGGATTCAGAGAAGTCTACTTTAGGTCGATCAGAAAAGGCTTTTTGAAATAAACTGTAATCAAATACTCCAGACCAAAAGTAATATGACGACAATTTATACAGAAATCCTAAACTACACAATCGCGAATATTTCCCTGCTTTTCATGCTCAGTCGAGTACATTTTTGTTCTTTTTCAGTCAAAATCCCATAGCACTTGTACACGTTTTCATCGTGCATGACACTTTGGACAATAAAATCAATCCGATTGCCTTTATATTTGGCACAAACTTAGACCAGCACATGCAGATGTGTCGCACGTGACATAATTATATGATGTCATGATATTAAATTTGTATATTTTGAAGGTATATCTACAGTTCCGATTGGGTTAAAACTGGATAGACTGTTTGGTGCTGTAGATGGAAAAAAAAAGTCATGTCATGATGACGTCATCACGTAACATTTGACGTCACATTAAAGGTGCATTTTCTAAGGCCTATCTACAGAACTGTATAGAATTTGGTTGCAACATGTATGTACTAAACTGGTTTTCGAGTTAGCTGTTTAGCCATCCGAGGAGCGTGTGGCATATTGTGCACGGTTCCCAGCCAGCATTCATTTCAAGAAATGTTTTTTTATTACAATATTACAATGTAAGCCTAACACATTTTTTTCTTATTTTCTTCTCGTTTCTTTAGGTTACTGTGATGGAAGCGATACGTTTTTCTGCTTTTTTTCAGAATCACCGTCTCATAAATAGCAACACTCAGTAGTCCGTAGAATGAAATTAGTAAAAAGGAACAACAGCGATTTGAGCAAACTGTCCAACGGAGCTGTACAATGAGAACAAAGTGTACACAAATACAATTGCAAGATCAAGAGGTTCGGACCTACGGCAGATGTACATGTGTGTACGTATATCATTAGCACTTTGTCATTTCGTGACTTCAGACTAGTACCAGAACGTCCAGAAGCTTATACGTACATGTATCTTCAACAGTGACTGATGTTTTCCTCAGCTCATGAATACGCCGCAGCTTTTTGGGACAGGAGAATGCAAGGATTGCCAGCACATCTGGATTGTGTTGTACATGTCACGATCGACTGAGTGTTCTTTTTGTACACGTATGACATTTTGTGTGACGCACGCAAAATCACGCTTAAGAAATGTCTTATGTGCAGAAACATCTACTACATTTTGTCTTGTGTGCAGGCAATTTTATGTATGGAAGCATGAATTCTTTCTAGTAAAGTACATGAACATTGTAACATATATCACACTGGATGCAAAAAGTGTAAAAACCTAACTTTTGTCATTGCAAGACATAAATACATGAGAACATGGCATTGGCAGATATAATTGCAAGCGTCACGTATTGGATTAGCAGTTTCCTATGGGTCTGCAGTCGGCCTTTGTATTGGATCCGTTGCATCGACGAAACCATCACGTATTGGATTATCGGTTTCCTATGGGTCTGCAGTCGGCCTTTGTATTGGATCCGTTGCATCGACGAAACCATCACACATAGGATAAGCAGTTTCCTAGCCATCTATTACCGTGTGTTAAATCGTGGGGTTGTTTTTACAGCAATAGTATTTTACATATGGTATGTTTGTTCTGATCTTCCAACACCGGCACTGACCGGGCTTTTAGCAAATCTGAGGAGCATCATTTCAATGTTGTTCAGTGCTGTTGAGTCTTTTGGGATGTTGCTGATCAAAGTATTTGACACAATTGTTCAGGCATTGAAAAACTCCCGTCTTGTGACCGTAGCAATGACTGCTGTTTTTGATGCATTTCATGTATGTGTGGCTGATTTGTGGGAGATCAGGACCGCTGTTCTGACGTTTATGACGATTGTTATTGTTGTTATTGTTATTGTTATTAATCATTTCTGGTAATGAAACCAAGGATTCCTCAAAAGCGCCCAAGGCACTGTAGCTCGCAAGCCTGAAAAAACCTGTAGAGAGAAGACAATAAGAAGAAATTACAGTTTTAGAGGTGGGAGGAAAAGCCCAGAAGAATATTCTGGGGAAAACCCACGGAATCAGGCAGGGACTGAAAACCCAATCCACATATTGGCCCAGGCGGGATTCGAACCCGGGTCACAGCGGTGGAAGGCGAGGAAAGTACCGCTACGCCAACCTGACTCCCCTTATGGCGGTTAAGGCTTACTTAAGCGAAATGTTACAAACCATCTTCAATGCGTTAGGTTTATTTGTGGATCTCGCTGTTGCCTTTCTGTCCGACGTTGGGATTGTTGTCATTGCCTTCCTTTTTCTCGTCCTAATCACCTTCATGCTTTACGTCCTTGTAAAGATCTCCTTGAGGTCGGGCAACACAATGGCGAACCGTTTAGACCCCTTTAAAATAGTGTCTACTAAGGACACAACTACCAGTGCCACTACTACCGAGTCCTCAACTAACACCACTCCTACGGGGCAACTCAGGGAGCGCGATCAGATGTGCGTGGTCTGCTATGACAAAGTCAAGAACATCTTGATCCTGCCCTGTAGGCACCTCTGCTGCTGCAAGGAGTGTTTGGATTTGATAACAGGCAGTGCACGATCCCAAGGAAACGCAGCTGCGAAGTGTCCTCTCTGTCGACGTGCCATCACAAGTTCCCTGGAAGTCTACGTTTGAAATAACATTAATGCTGCTGTTAAAAAGGATGCCGGAGAGACTGTCCTGTAATTGTAAATATTAGACATCATTTATGTTCTTTGACCGAAAATGGTCCATCTGACTGAGCAGCCCCATGGTCCGAGAGAAGCGGAAGGACAAGCCACACTTCCATGCTCTTATACCATGTAATATGGGTAAACTCAACACCGAAACTGTTGGACTCTGTGGTATGCCTGACCATACTGACCACCCTTTGCAAGGATTTGGGTCGTGACTAGTACATCTGATTTGTTTGAGCTGTCATTGGACAGATTTTTTTTACCTTGTGCCCCGGCCAGATCAACATTCATGTGCCGTGGACACTTTTACGGAAAGCCACCAGACCAAATTACTATACCTCATACATATTCATGATCGAGAGCCGAACTCTCACTGGTCAATTCACCATCACGTGCCAGATGTTATTCTTGCTGTTTACCAAACGCGCGCGCGAGGATTCACGCACATTGTAAATACGCATGCGTAGTAGCGCTTTACAGAGCAATCGAGGAACTGTCGCATGGGTGCAGTACGCACGCGCGCACATCGCCCTAGATACTACTATAGATACACACGAAAAGATGGCCGAGCAACACGTTAACCAGCGTTTTCCCGAGCTCAATGATGCCGAACTAGAGAATATTGTGGACAATAAAGATGCCTCCGCTACGAAAAAATTGTCCGCAAGGCGGTAGAAACTCTGAAGACTTACTGCACTGCAAAAGAACTGAACATTTCCGAAGTGGAGGGATATTCTTCTGGTGAGTTAGACAAATTTCTCCGAAGATTTTCCACGATACCGCGTTACCGCGATAATTTATCGCAGAAATCAGGAATTCAAAGATAATTCCTTCCGCGATACCGCGTTACTGCGATAATTTATCACAGAAATCATGAAATCAAAGATAAATCATTCGACGATACCGCGTTACTGCGATAATTTATCACAGTAACGCGGTATCGAGGAAAAGGTATCTCTGATTTCTGGATTTCTGTGATAAATTATCACAGTAACGCGGTATATCGCGGAAGGAATTATCTCTGATTTCTGGATTTCTGTGATAAATTATCACAGTAACGCGGTATCGCGGAAGGAATTATCTTTGAATTCCGGATTTCTGTGATAAATTATCACAGTAACGCGGTATCGCGGAAGGAATTATCTTTGAATTCCGGATTTCTGTGATAAATTATCGCGGTAACGCAGTATCGCGGAAGGCAATTCAAGCTTCCGTAATTGAGATATGGTCTGCAAAGACATTTTAGTAAACTCCGTCAATTTGACATCATCAAGGACTCTCCCTTTGACAGTGCCGGCAATCTCATGTTTCAGAGCATGATGATTAAACTGAAACAGGAAGGCAAGGGTGCTGTCAAACACAAGGAAATTATTCAGAACGAGGATATGGAGAAAATTCAAAACTCTCTCGATCAGAAAACACCACAGGGCCTTCAGAATAAAGTTTTCATTGACATAATGCTGCATAATTATGTGTAACAGAGGTCGCGAGAATCTCCGTGAAATGGCCAGAGACGACTTCGAGATTAAAACCGATGCTACTAATCAGCGTTATGTCTGTAGAAGCAGAGATCGTCTGACCAAAAATCATCGTACTGATGACGATAGTCATGGAGGTAGAATGTATGTCACACCAGACAATCCACAACGGTGTCCTGTGCTCTCATTTGAGAAGTATGTATCAGTTCTCAACCCAAACTGTGAGGCTTTTTGACAACGCCCAAAAAAATTCGTTGTTGACAGTGATGTTTGGTATGACAACATGCCTCTGGGGAAAAACAAGCTCTTCAACAAAATGGCTGAAATATCGCTGCAGGCAAAATGTTCCAAACATTACACCAACCACTGTCTGCGAGCAACAGATGTCACAATTCTAGATGCTGCTGGGTGTGAGGCCCGCCACATCATGACTGTTGTCAGGACATCGGTCAGAAACAAGTATCAGAAGTTACAGCACTCGGCATATATTTTCCAATAGGCATATTTTCCAGTATGCATAATAATGGTCAGTTTTGAAGAGCGCCCCCATTTGAAAGATGGATACCAGCCCCCCCCCCCCCCCACCATCAAAAGCTGGATTAACCACTGTGATGAACATGTCATCTGTCATTTTCTGTCCAATTTTTGGTGGGTTCAACAAATGACTTTTTTGGAGAAGTTCTCACCCAAACAAGACCACCCTAAAACGAGCGATGTCAGTCCCGAAGTGGAAAAGTAGCCATCTTGAAAAAGGATCCCTCCACAACATGGCTAAATATAGCACCACTTTCGGACCCAATTTCATGCGAAATGCTCTGAATTGGAAGCCCCAAGTCCAGGCCAGAGGTTCATTGCCATATATCTTTAATTCCCCAATTCCATGGCTCTCAGAATTACTCTCTAATCATGAAATGTTTTAGTTCAATGATGCTGGTGGCCTACATGTATTTAAAAAAAAAAATTATAAAGTGTATGGTGTGAATATTTCTTAAATGCTGTGACTATTATAATTTGAGAAATGAACAAACAATGAATGTGAATACATATACTTGTGGTATGAAAATGAAATATTTTGAAAGTGCGTAGCCGTACAATTTCTTTGTACATCTTTTTAATTTTCGTCATCTTGGGAACAAACATCTGATTCAATACGGTACCTCCTGCTCAATTAATGCAATTGAGGATTGGGATACTGAAATATGTTTACTTTTCAATTACAAGTATTAATGTTTTTATAACCACCCCAACTCCATCAAAATCCCCCCCTCCATTTTGGTGGACTTCGGTGGACTTGGTACAGAAGGCCTGGCGTGACTAAATATTGATGGACAGTGGGCCTAATGGCCTGAAGCAGTGCTAGTGGTGTCCGATTGATTTTGCCTCTAGAGCTTCCTGTACTGCGTTTGTGATAAAGCCATGTGTAGCAAGTCCATGAATGTCAACCAGTGCGTCAGTGGTGGATTCCATTATGTCATGTACAGTTTTGTATTACACGTACAGTGATTGATGGATTTTGATGGAATTGGTCCAGTTCCTAGTAAAAGACGCTAGGGAGTTAGGGTTAAGAATATTATATTCTACATGCTCAATAGGTGCTGTTCTTACTTGTTCATTGTACAATTTTTACCTTTGTGAGGGAGTGATGTCATCAACCAAAATACCAGTTGACCACACCCCTTTTTTTACCTCATCTTCCAATTATCTGAAATCCAAAACTGTTTTTGTATCTTGTTTGTAGTCAAACTTAATGACATGTGTAGCACCGCATTAACTTGTAGTCCGTTCATCTGAAAATACATAGCCTTGAATGCCATTTAATACTGTTGATGTAAAAAAGTCTTTATAATAATTTGTAATTTCTGTAGTCTTAACTTTATGCTTATTGCCTGAAATGACTTGCCACTTGCTGTTGGATGATACACTAAAGATAATGTAATGCATTAATATGATTAAGGAAGAAATTAACGCGTCTCAGTTTGTTAGTTGCAAGGTTGTTCATAAGAAAAATGAAGCTTTTATTCAGTACTTCTCCATCACTCTTTGGTTAAAATTGAATTTTGTAACAGTTCAAAGGCAAAGCAAAGTTAAGGAATTACATGAAACTAAAACAGGTACCGATACTCTGTAATACTCGTCTGCCAACTTTTTTTTATTGAAACAACACACTTTCAGAGTTATGCAATTTGTTTTAACTGCAATGAACAATAAGTACATGTACATGTAGCTCATACATGACTCACAATACCTATGTGACTTGCTAGTACAGTGTGTCAGTGTAAATGTTTATCCCAAATCTACAAAAAAAGTTAACACTGCTATGGAGTCTGTGTACAAGCACCCCTTTAACTGTTAGAAAAGGAGAGTTGGGGGAGACCACTGGGAGGGACATTTGAACGCATTGTTGACGACGCCTGATGCTCAGGTGAAGACATTATGGGTTTGCGCACATTTAGAATTTACGCAGGTGGTGTGTCCTCCCATTGGGGCTCTCGAAATTGGCAACAAAGTGCTATCTTGTGTTGTTCGTTCATAAACCAACGGCTTATTCCAATTTCACCATAGGGACTAGCTCTACGATTTCACTAATATAATGAACCCAATGTAAATCCATAAGCTCAAGTGGACCTGCGACTGCAGCTGGCCTGCACCACGACACCATCAAGCTGGAACAGAAAAGCACATTCAGATCACACACACACAAAAAGAAGTGCGACAGGTTTGTTCCGGATTGTCTGCTCTCATGTGCAGCTTGATTATGAAAAGCTATATATAGTTTGCACATATTCTGTGTCATCACATGGTCCACTTGAGCTTAGTTAACACTGGCTAGACTTAAAAATGTTCTGTTCTCTAAATAACTATCCAAATGAAGCAAACCAGGTGTTGGATTCAGGCAGCTTTAAAGGGGTGTGTACAACATTTGCTTTTGCTACAATTTTCTGAAATAAATGGATTTGGAGGATTAGTATGTTGAAGCAGATATTGTTAAAATGACTTGTTTCATGTTTTGTGCTTGGAGATGTTGAAAAAACCAAGAAAACCAATCATGTTCTTGTAATCTGGTTCCCTGACCCCACTAAAGATGAAACGGAGCAATTTATAGACTATTGGGAATTGCATGGTCAGAGAATCAGTCTAGCATGCTTGTACCCCTTCACAGGTGTGTAATCAATTGCAAAGAAAACACGATATAACTAATTATGAAAAATTAGGAGCAGTTTTTGAGAACAAAAAAGCCAGTTTTCTCCAACACTGGTCGGCCGACCAGCGTTGGAAAAATATCATTTTTCTTGAAAATGACAGCACACCAGGAGCCACGATTTTACAGGATGCTTTACACTGTCATTCCCAAACAAACCAGTAAGGTATTTCATGGTAATTTGATCTTTTCTTTTTGTGATGTTTGCAAATGTTGTGTCTTCCCTATAAGATGAAGGAGTTAAAGCTCATAATTTCCTTTTTTGAAAGATCACTCCAGATC